CTTAACTCCATAACTTATTAATGTAATACTCATCAAACTGAATTATTTCTGACTTAATTGTTTCTACCAACATTTAGAAACACAGTCCTCAAAGTAAAGGTTACCTTCTTAATAAACAGAGTAAGTTATGGGTATTGTTAAGGCTTAAAATTTCTCTATTTGTCCCTGAAGCTATTCAAAAGCCTTCTTAGATTTATTTACATGTGGCAGGTGTCCAAGCTCACAGAGGATGATTTTCCCCCCTTCCTTTCAGAACTATCTACAGAACCTGCTATTTATTAATCAAATGAGCATTTCACCCCTGGAGCCAATTCTTTCATAATAGGATAAGTTTGTCTTAAAAACATAAAGCATATCATGCATAATTTTTAATGACACCATATGGTAAACAAAGCTAGTAATATTCTAATGGGATTTTGAAGGGAGCATGAGTAAAGCTTCACTGTGAAAAATACAAAGAAACAAAGGGAGCAGAGTATTTCCAAATGGAATGGTTAAAAATAAGCAAACCATCCTGTATGAGTACCAAATTAATGTTTTACCTATGTGTGACATTTAATATCACAAAACTCTACAAAATGGATATACTTATTCTCAATTCAGAGTGGAAACTGACCGAGGGTGTGATAAAATTTGCCAAGGTCATACAACCATCATAGGATAGAAAAGAAATTCAAACCCAGGTGGGTCAGATGCTTAAGATCCTATTTCAAAACAAAAGGGCTGGGGATATAGCTCAGTGGTAGTGCACATCCCTGGCATGCATAAGGATGTGGATTAAACCTCAGTACTGTAAGGAAAAATGTTTTAATATTTTTAACAATAGATGTGGGTAATTACAGAAACTACTTTTAAAGGTAAATATTAAGTATTCTAGAAGCTTCTTATAAATTCAAGTTTTACATGTCATCATACTATAATTCCATTTGGCAACAATTCATTAATTGTTTTGTTCATATTTACATACATTATTTTTAATTAGGTTAGATTTCAGCTATAACCCCTGAAAGTTCCAATTTCAATCTATGAGAAACTCAACTAAAAAATTCAAATGAATTACCTCTTTCCCCTAAGTATAATTACTTATTCTGATGAAGAGAGACAAATGACAAGTAAGCAGTCAGCAAATGGACATGTGTTATTCAATTTAATTACTTTTTTAGATAAACCTGAGATTTGGTATACTTTATTTCCTTTGTAATCATGTTACTATCATACTTCACTCTATTGTTTATTTTATTTGAGAGTATATCATTAATATAGCAATGAGTCAGCAAAACAAATGTTCTCTGTTTACATGAAAGGGATTTATTATGATGACCCTGAAGTTAGTTTAGAATAAAAGAATAATTATGTTATTTTTGAAAATAATGAAATAATATTTAAATTACTGTGGCTAAACAGGAGTCAGTCATGCATAGTGTTAGGGAAGAAAACATCAATAGAGAAACAGCAGAGATCAGACTTGGGCAAAAGAGAGCACACCTAGAGCAGCTAAAGGTCCATGGCACAACATGAAGGTAAAAGAAGAAAGGGATACCAGATCAGGAAGGCTCAATAAGCTGTGTTGGGACTGTGGAATTTAAGAGTAATGGGACTCTTTGGGGAGATTTACCCCAAATACCTGCATGACTGGATTTAACGTTTTCAAGAGATCTCTCTAGCTGGTGAGAGCAGGAGCAAGAATCTGAGTAGAGAAATTAAACCACTGCCATGATGTTGCCAAAGAAGAGAGTGGCTTAAAGCAAATGCTAACAGGAAAAATAAGGCGAAACAAGAATATTTTAGATAAAGGAGGTGTGTGTGTGTGTGTGTGTGTGTGTGTGAAAGAGAGAGAGAGAGAGAGAGAGAGAGAGAGAGAGAGAGAGAAACTATCAAGAGCAATAAAGATTTGATGAATGAATTATTTTAGAAAGACTTCCCAAAGACCTTATATTTGAAGTTTTTTCGTCAATATACTGAACATGTGGTCCATGTTGTTCATCACTTTACAAAAATACATTTAAAAAACTAAAAATAAAAACCAAAAATAACGAAAACAAACTTTTATGCCCTTTCATGTTCACTAAATAATAAAAAAGTAAAGATTTACAGATAAAATAAAACTTTATCTTTAAAACACTCACACAGCACTCATATCATGTCCAAACACATTTTATATAGATAATTTTGCTTGTTAAAAAAGTATAGATTTTATGTTTTGGCTAATATTTAAAATTATTTTTATTCTTAAATACTAATTTTCTTCTTGGTTGTATCCTTTTGATTTCTTTCCAATCCATTCTTAAATAGTTAACAAAAAGTATTTAAGAAAATGAATTATCCTTCAGAGTTTGGAAAATATTAAGGAATATTTTTTGACATGCCTTTCAAATCTCTCTTCGGTAATTCCCCTTAACCTGCAGAAGACCATCTTTCTTACTTTTTTGATGAAAGTAGGTAGAAATCCCTTAAGTCACTCACAGTCCTACACTGTTCTACCACAGTACCACATCTATTTTTATTTATTTCGTCCATTCTCAGTGGAAGAAGTCTCTCCTAGTTTGGTGGAAGTGTTCTTCCTGGAATACAGCTGGAATAGAAATGCTCTTTCATGGTTCTAGATGCATACCCTACATTAATTCAAGTCATAACTACAGTGATTCCATTACTTCCTTGCTTATATTCTTAACCTTCCTTAATGGTTCTTTCTCATCAGTATATCCTTATTCATGTTTCTTCCATCTAAAACCATTCTCTATACTCCAACAACTATCCGATTTCTCTCCTTGTCAAATTTTTGAGAAGCATCATCAGAACCTCTTTATATTCCTCTGTTCATTTGATAATCAGTTCACTTTCATTATTGTACCATTGTGAAGATGAAAAGAAGACTCAGCAAAGTTAAACACTTTCCAGATGCTATAAAAAAGCAAATAATTTAGACAGAATTCAAATCAAGATATTCTCATTTAAGGTTTTATTTTGCTGTATAATATAAAGCTTCACGCCATCAATGCCATTAAATGTAATTATTGACTTTTGTGTATTTGACTGCTCTTTTAAATATTAATATCAACCCACATTACCCAAATAAATATACATAAATGATGAACAAATTAATCCTTTAAAATGTTTATCCGTACAGAGCACAAGTTCTAAAGTTCAGGGTAAGTTAAGGTCTTTACTTTTCCAAAACTGGACAAAAAGTTAAGAAATTCCTAACAAGAATACTTGAAGAATAGGTTAAAGAATGAGCCAATTTTCTAATTTTTAACCTGACAGAATATGTTACATAAGTATCAAAGTTCATTAACTTCTTTCTGATGGTACTTTAAAAAATAACAAATGATAATTACTTGTTTTTAAAATGTAATTTTTACCAATTTGAGAAAAGTATGACATAATAAAGAAAATATATTTTATGTGGCTATTTAACTTATCTAAATTCAGTAGGAACAGTGAGTGTATGGAACTAACACTGTATTTTAGAAAGAAAGTTTAATTGCACATAATTCAATGATATTATGATGATTATCTCAACAAACCAAAATTAGGAATCACAAAGGTTACTAATCCTAGTAGATAAATCCTAGTTTGTGCCATGATTTTTTATTTTTCCACTTAATGTCAATAAATTTGTCACTGACACATTTAGTGTATTATGCTCTCCTATAAACACTCATTGAGGAACTGCTATACGGACCAGAAACTATGTCAGAAAGTGAATGTAGAAAGATGGAAAATGGGTGACATAACTGCTGTCTGAAGTTGTTTAAGGATAACGTCAATAGCATACAAAAGTCACAGTTGATCTCACAAAACTTCTCAAAGGATATTCATTTAATGAAATTGTTTATCTAAATTAATACACAATATAGGCAAATTATATGAAATGCAATTTGAATTTATTATATCAAAGATAAATGGCTAATCACATCTCAAAATTACTGTCTTTCTCAAATGTTGGGAACTCTAAGCAAAGAAGATGAATTTTTTTTGCTACACTAGGAATTCGACTATTTTTTCTTAGAAAATGTAAACCAGCTACTTTTTGTATAAATCAAATTTTCAGTAGTGTTAAAAAGTAAGGTAAACATTTTCATATCTCTACATGGAGAGCATAGAAAATGGAATCAGTGTAAAGGACAAAGTTTGAAAATGAAAAGATGATTGAACAGAAAGAAACTTCTGGAGAGAGTTACCTTCCAGGAGGTTGCATTAATATTTCAAAGAGGATAAAGCACTAAGCCATATCTTTATATTTCAAAGAAAAGGTTGGGCATCCCTATTTGAAAATCCAAAATTTGTATGCTCCAAAATTCAAACATGATGCTCAAAAATTTTCAGATTTTGGAGTACTTTAGGTTTTTGACACAGATGAGGGACTTTCAACTAGTGAAGTCTATAAAAATATTCCGAAATTTGAGAAACTTCGAAACTAAAACATTTCTGTTCCCAAACATTTCAGATTAGGGATCCTCAATCTCACTTGTTTACATTTGGGAGGTTTCTCTCCCTCCCTCAGGAGAGGGGTACAACTAAATAACCGCTCCTATTTAAACAGCAGATTCATAATTTCAGGGGTTTTCTCCCGTGGTGTAAAATTTCCCCTTCTGATACCTGTAGGAACCACCATCTAGCCCTGGGCACATTGCCCTGATGGGGAATGTGGAGCCCAGGGTAAACAATGTACTATTGCTCTACAAAATCACAGTCTGCCCTGTTATAGAAGCTTTCTGCTTGTTTTCAGGACAAAGTGAATATAGGTATTAAAAATGTATACTACTTTAAATTAGGGTTTAGAGGGAAAAGTGTCTTTTTGAAGAGATAACTTCATTATACTTATTTTCAGGTATATCAGTTCACTTCAATAATAAATAAATGGTCAAATACTGGAAAGACAGTACATTGATCTTCAATATCATTTTGCCATATTATTTCGATGCAAGAAAAAGCAGGATAGTATAATAGTACAAATGTAAGGTCATCTGTAGAAAACAAAAATTAAAATCACTTACTTGATGTTATCAAGGCAGCCTGATTCTGGTTTCAGTATAGCAGTATGATGAAACATTTTATATAAAGCAATCCCAAGGAAGATTACATTAAGCTGGAATGCAAAAGGTAATGTTATGCAACATAACCATGGTAGAAAAAAAAAAGCAAGTCTATTCTCTGTAACAAATGAATTGTTCTGGGAAATTAGCTCTCAGTACACTTTTAAAGGAATTGGATCACAGATGACTGCTTAGTATTTTAGCAAAGGCAAGAAGCCAGTTTGGGGAATCAGGATACCACTAAGTTACACAGCACTACTATGCCAAATACACATAAATATAAAATCAGCAGCCATTAGGAAGAGGCTGTGGAAATTCTGAAATAACTCAAAGTCTAGTGTATGTTTTTTAAAAAACCAAACAAACAAACAAAAAGCAATAATTATTCTAAGAACACTATTTCTGTACTTCATATGTATGAAGCATATCTCCAAATTTATTATTTAGGGATACATTTTCAAATGTAATATTATAAAAATATAAATACTAAGATCAACAGGGATCATATTTGAATAGATTATGCCAAAAAATTAGAAAATGCTGATTAATTGCTAATGCTGTAACAAACAAATATTAAATAGAGGGAATCCTCAAGATATTGTTATATAACTGAAACCAGAGAAAATATATGAGTTAGAACAAAACACCCCAGTATAAATTACCTATATTACCTACATGAATACTCTACAGAAAATCACATATTGAATTGTCCTTTACTGCTTGATTGGTTTATCTTTTCCACAACTTGGGACTGGTAGGGACTAGGAAAGTCAAAATTAAAAATCCCACTGAAATTCTATAATACAGCATCATAATTTTTTAAAATCAATCATCCCTAAATTCAAAAAACTATCAAAAGTAAAAGTTAAAAATAAACATTCATTAGATGATGAAAAGTTTAAACTGACTCCACCTGGTAGAAAAACCTGATCTGTATTGACATAAGGTTGTCCATAGTCATTACTATACTTGCTCTTACTTTTCCTGCCTTTTATTTTCCTTTTTTCCTGTTAAAATGTTGCTCTTTGATTACAGAGTACTACCTAGCCAGAACTATGAGTAATGGTCAATGTGTTAAATTTGAGGCAACTGCATAGTGCCCACTAGAGATGTCATGTAATATGCATTATATGTACCATATTGCCTTTCCAAAGACTGAAACATTTTAAAATCCAAAATACATCTGGATTTAAAGGTTTCAGATAAAAAAAATTGCAGAACTATATTTTATTCAGTCGTAGGGCTAATATTTTACTTCCAAAATTGAATAACTTTGTATTTTTGAAAACAATGATACCGATAATTTTATCTAAAGTAATATAAATAGTAGAAATCAAGATATCATGATATCATGAAACTAAAAATAAAAAAAGGAAGAATTATTCTAGGATGCATTCCTAATTAAGTTGTACCATTTTTAAGTAAAATCTTTCTGAATTTTAAAGATTTAAAAGTTTATATAAAAACAAAACTGGAAGGAATAGTCTGGTATTATCCTACTTTTCCAATTCTTGTCCATTCTCAATTCAAATTATCAAATTATCTTAAAGAAAAAGAATACAAAAAAATCTGTGGTCACCTTTATAGCCATCACTCTTTATCTATAAAAATCAAAGGGATTATGATGAATTGGACTTCTGAGTAGCAATACATGACATAAACTCTTGCAAATGCTTGTTTTCTTTTCCCACTGATTTTGATGAACTATTTTATAATATACAAGCAGACTATAATGACTGTCTAATTGCTTGAGTTACATAGGGTCAAATAAGTACATGCTTTCCCCAAATTAACCTATGTAAATTAAACATAGTTAGTATAGGGATAGTGCAAGTTTTATTTCTTGACCTGGGAAACACATAGTTAATTAGGAGTTCTCACCATAATTATCAAGGTCGCTGGTCCTATAAAACTCCAAATGAAGTAGGTGTCAAGTCGGAGCCAACATCTGCAATGAAACACAAGGGAGAGAGGCATTCAAGGACTGGGCATGGGACATACATCAAGAGAGAGCAAGTGACAGAGAAGAATATGAGCTGCAAAGCATTCCACTGGGAGACAGGAAATATTACATTGCTTGTTCATTTAAATGCTGAATTATGTGCCCAATTTCTGACAGCACTATTGATGGAGTAAGATAATTACCCCTGGAGGAAGCAGAAAAAAAATGGCAGTGGGCCTTTTTGCTAAGGCCTTTTGTGTCTGTCATAGAAACCTCAAAAAAAAAAAAAAAAAAAAAGGAAGAAAATAAAAAAAGGAAAGAAAAAGCCATATACATAGCCATTAAGACAAGTAGCTTTAAGCTATGCTTTTCTCTCCAATTACGGAGCTACATAACCTGTCTATCAGCTGTCAGGCAAAGTGACATTTTCCTGTCAAGAAGATCTGAGGAAATTCAGTACAAAAAAGAAATAAATTTGGTTTCAGAAGATTGAAGTTTAATTAGGTTGGGCAGTCAACCTTTGAGAGTTCTCTAGTCTTAAAAAGTGCATTGTTACTGCCCATACTTCTGGGGTTGCAAATGATCCTTAGCATCCCATGAAGTTGATTCATGGCCTAAAAGTAAATTATTAATCACTTAATTTCAGCCACATTTAATACTCCTCCAATTCTTAAAGCCTCTGGGAAATTACATTTCATTCTTCAGGATGACAGGAAGACAAAGTGGAAGCGACTAGTTATAAGAAAGATTAATGTAAAATTTGAACAAATTACATTTGATGTTAAAAATAATATCTTAAATTATTTGCCATTTTGCTATACTGAGGAATAATTAAAAAGAAAATATCTCCAGTAATACATATTCAAGAGTGTTTTGCTATGTGGTCTAAACCTTCAAATCCTAATGACTTCAATATTCCTGTGATTATATAAATGTTACTCAAACCTAAGCAATAATAGAATACCAGAAAAGGTATTAAGAGAGGAATCTATAAATACCCATCCATAAATTAATTGATAAACTATTATCTATTTATGATGAAATGTTATAAAACAGTTTTAAAAAACAAGTGATCTACATGCCAACACAATGAATTTTAAAAGTTGAGTAAGCAGTTGAGGATGTAGCTCAGTGGTAGAATGCTTGTTTAGCATGTGCTAGGATCTGGGTTCAATCCTTAACAACACCAAAAAAAGAAAAAAAAAGGTAAGGTGAAGAATCCATACCATATACATATTAAATACACAGATACACACACATATATATGATGCATATATACACCATTTCATACATACACACTATACATATGAATACTACCCACTAATATTTTATAATTTTGATAGATACATACATTGCAATAGTTTATTGGAAAGGAAAAAAAATCAAAGTCTTGTTAGTTGTCATTGCTTACATGAGAGTAGAAAGGATTAGAAGTAGATCAAATTGGCGTTATCATAGGGATTACTCTACTGCTAATTGTAAGTATATATACCAAACAGTTGTTTAAAATCTGAATGATGGGGTCAGTGGTCTTTATTCTGGTTATATATTTTTCACTTTTCTATAACTTTTAAATTTTTATAGAAAAAATTAAAAGCCAGGTTTTAAGCCAAAATAAGGAAGGGGAGGGGGACTCATGAAAAGTCAATTTCAAAACAACATCTTGCCTTCCTCTATTAAGTTAAATACATGTAAACTAATTTCAAGAGATGTAAAATTGCCATTCCAATAAGAGACTACCAATTCATAGGTTTTACATGAATAATTTGTTTTATTCTAAATAAACATAATAATTGTGCTTGATAAAATACATTTAGTGAAGCAATAAATACATGAGTTATTAAGCATTCATTTGTTTAAAGAATCAGTATCCTTTTATTCGGGTAGTGTCCAAAAAAGTTGGTCATAGAAAACAGAAGTGTGGTGCTGCCTATAGGCAGAAACAAATTGGATGACTTAAAGTGGAAATATGATCATTGTCTTCATTCTACCATATACTACCAATGATATATTACATTATACCACTCTATTAAAAGGGTATGTGTATGTGTTTGAGTGATATAATGTCTCTAGTGGAGAATAGGCAGAACTTCATGGATGTCTCTGGGTTCTCAAAAAAAAAAAGTAGGGACATTTTCTCAAATTAGACTACATACACATACCCACACATACACACACAGCACAACAATGTTGCTGAAATTATAGCAACATGATACAATACTAATAGTACACTTAAGAATAAATGCTAATAGCCTAGCCCTTGTCTGTCAGTCAAACAAGTTTTGGAAAGGAAACATGAGAAATGAAGCAAATTTTTAGTAAATTCTTTCTATAGAAAAATATGCTTCAAGATCTGAAAAATGTTGTTTCACAGGTTAAGGACTTATGCAAATAACTTTAATTAAAATATTAGTAACTACAGAATTCAAAAATTTCGAAATTATCCCAAATTATGTTTATATAAAATAATATCATTAAATTGTGGCCATACAAATCTTTGTTTGAAAACAATCTCAGCTTAGCAAATGCTCTACTTGAAAATGTGTTTTCAGCATAATGATATTCCCTAAATGTGAAAGTAAAATGAGAAATTGTTTTATTCTTTAAGAAAATTCTTCAATATCTATTTGGTATAATACATTTAAATTCTCTTCAGAATTGAATAGTGAGAGAGGCAATATGAAATACTTAAAATATACTAAGTAAATCAGCCCTCCATGAGGGCTGTCTGGGCTTTACTATCTCCTGGAAGACTGTGTGGCAAGAATGCATTTTCTAATTTGATTGCCATATGGCCACACCTGCTGTTGTTTTTGGCTCCATGCTGGCTTCCTCAGAGCTTTGTTTATTTTGTCTCTTTCCCATTTACCTACCTTAATAATTTGCATGATTCCTGCCCCAGTTCATTGTGCAATATTGAAACAATTCACCTTGGCTTTGAAGTGAAGACAGGTTTTATATGGGAGACATATATATGTATATATATATATATATATATATATATATATATATATACATATATATATATATATATATACACATACATACATACACATACACACACACACACATTTATACACATATATGCCAGGGCACGTATATACCACCTCATAATATTCTATCAATCTGGCCACTAAGTATCATTTGAACACAATTCAACATGTGGTTACTGGTTAAGAGAAGACCATGTCAGATTATTAGACAAAACTAGAGAAACATTTTATCACACTAAAAAAAATAATCAGCTTACAAATGACCAAGTATTTCTGCTATTGAAAAATAATGTGCTTTATCTGAAACATATCTTCCAAATAACATTGAACTTGTGAAATTAGTAATTTTGATAGGTCACTCTTGTTTGATTTTTAAAATATACCTCAATTGTCTTTAAAACATAAAATCTAATTAGAATACATGGGATCTATACATCTTCTTTTTTTTTAAAGTGTTATAACAAAAGATATGCCCTAGGGTTGAAAAACTAAATGCATTCTGACCACACAACATCTTTATTTGAATACTAAAATCCTTTCAATGTCAAGTATATTTTAGAATTCAAAGGAGAACTTGTCATATAACACAGACCTTGACTTGTCTTTTGCTTCATTCATACAATTCACATATATGTCATTTAAATTATTTCTACAGCATTTTTTTCAAATACTAAAAGCAACATAACGTTATTTGTAAAATACAGACTTACTGAATCAATAAGTTTCTTGGTCTCAATAGCCTAAAGAAGTAGTGCTAAGCCATAAGGACAGATTGCTATTCTTTTCCACAAATGTTCTATTCCCAAATGTAAGAAGCATCAATAAATTAATCATAAATGTGTTACCAATATCATTCTCCCATTTAAAAAGTCAATTACATATCCAGTAAATACCCCTTCATTGATTACTCAGAAAAGAGACAAACAAATTAAGATAATTTCTCAAAACAGGATAAACTATCTTCTCAGAATAAGACAACAGAAAATATTACTTCTAAAGTTTATTCTCTTCTATCTCCTAACCCACTCATCATTTTATTTTCATTAGTCATTTTAAAAGGCATGATTCTGTATTTAAAAAATTATAAGGCCAACTACCTGACATATGTAAGTGTCACCTAAAACACATGTTTTACAATGTTTTTGGATACTGATAATACTACCAGAGTGTAGGTTCTTATTCAAAGTCAGAAATGTAGTGCCATTAAGATGCTTTGGGACACTGTGTTTTGTTGTTAGTTTAATTCATTCTGGTCAAAGCAGATGTCTGACTATCAACCAAAGTTTTCTGAAATAATGTAAATTAGCAGTGGTGTTTGCTTTACTTTCTACATGATGATAAACCACAGATTAAACTATCCATGGTGAGTCTTAAATATAACCAATAAACAAGCTTTGGCTGCTATTAGACCATGAAATTTACAAGGCTTAATTATATCAAGCTGTTTATGAGAGTTTGTAAGCTATATAATCTCCTTTTCCCTGTAACATGTGCAGATATTTGTGCTTTATCTCTATCTGTCTATCTGACAAGTTTGGGAGAGTAAAGGAAGGAGGAAAGAGAAACAAGGCAAGAAAGCAAGAAGGGGAAAACAGATTGATATATACACACTTCAAGAATAATGAATCTATTTCTAACTTTAGTGAATAGTGCCTTAAGATTTTTTAATATCATTTTTATCACAGTACTCTTCTCTTATGCATTTAATGGCAAAATAATTTGTGACTATACACATTGCATGAATTTTAAAGAAATGTTGGAGACATACAGAAATGGAGTTTGGCCAGTGTTAGTCAAGGCTAGGCTTTAAATTCAGCCACAACTTTTAGATCTTCAAACTAAAATTTAGCTCTCACATATTAAATATAGGTTGTATTTTCTTTATATCCTCAACATATTATATTTTTAAAGGGAGTTTCAGTATTTCTCCAACAAAACATATCTTACATTATTATGAGGGACTGCAAAGGTAAGAACACCTTTACTATTTGATATACTCTGTTAATATTAAAT